AATGACAGTTATAAGCGTATGATGGAAAAACACTTTATAAGACAATTTTTTTTTTTAAAAACTAAATTATAATAAAACTCAATGCGTACGAACATGCTCTTCATTGTTTTCTTAGATCAGCTGTAATTGATAAGACATTTTGTTCATCATTTTTGCACATGTTTCTTTCAAAAATTTTCTCAATTCTTCTGCAATTTGTGAGTGGGTGCGGGTGTGGGTGGAGGTGTGGGGTGTGGGTCTATGTGAAGAGAAGATCAAAACCCACCCACACCACGCACCCGACAGCGGACAAAACTGAGTTTCTATCTCCGTGGTAAATGACACTGAACTGAATAATCATTTTTATTTCGCATAATAGGAGACATCAGGAATAGGAAACAGACTCATAACTGTTTTGGAGAAAATCTTTCAAAAAAGTACGTGATATAAAATAGAAACCGACGCATCGAATAATCGAATCCTAAATTATAATCAACGAGAGCATCCAATGTATTAACATTGAAACGTTGAATATTATTCTTTTTTCTTCCACATTCGATGAATCAATGATTCAGGCGATCGAATGTAAGAAGGAAATAAATGAGTTGATGATGGGAAGTTTTATTTTTTTAAATGTATGCTACAGTCGTTTCAAACTGAAATATATAATATATATCTCGCTAGTCATTGATACATTTTATATCTAGCCTTGGACGGCCAATCAGGGCAGCTTCTGTTTTGGGCATCGTATAGTATAAACTTAGACCATCGGACTGATGGAACAAGTACTATGTCTTAAGACTTAGAGATTGTTTGCGGTTTTCATTCTCGAGATATATAAAATTCAGGAAAATATAGTGGCCTGTGGCAAAGTTTCACCACTGACAAGCTCAACCCAGGGTGGTACTCTATTAGTGAACTATTCAAGGATGATATTTGGCGATAGAAGGAAAGCTTTTTATACTATATTCGATATGATAACATGGAAAGCCGCTAAAGGAGACACACTTGTAGTTTTACGTCTTGAGGATGTGGGTGTGGGTGCGGGTATAGGTGTAAGTGTGAAGAAGAAAACATCCAGACTCACACCCACACCCACATCCACACCCTTTTGTCTTGAGAACTTCCTGAACTTATGATTAAGAAATTTTCTCCAAAAGTCAATAAAATAGTTGCTGAAAAATGGCCTCCTATCAACGTTTCTGAAGGCTGAGTAGGGCAACAAGGGTGTATCCAAGGGAGAAGGAATTAGCGAGTAATATCTTAGAATGAAACAATGAGGGATCAGCAAATTCTGCTTTGCTTCATTCCAAGAGATTACGTACTAATTTTTATAAATTATGTTGCGAAAAATAATTATAAAACATGTAGCATTTTTGCCACTATGGAACTCCAAGAGTTAAACACGTTCTCTTACAAAAGTGTCCATTTTCAATACAAATAAAAGCCCTGTATAAGACATGTCTAAAAAACTACCCCTGAAATTCAAGCGACAACAAGTTTGCTATCAAAAATGCGTTCAAACGCGTTTTTTGTTTAAATTTTCTCGTGGGTTCACTGAAGCATCTTTCGCATGTGAAGACATTCGCAGGTGTACACCGTGGTCTTGCCGTCGTCTGTTTCTCGATTCCAACTTTCGGTTTTGGTTCCAAAGATGTTATATCCAAGTCGCTAATACAATGCTCGAGCACGATCATTGTCCATCTCGATCGATAGTTCAGTAATGATGAAACCATGATCTAGTGTCCTTTTCTTGAGAGCTTGAATGAGTGCAGTGCCAATCTCTCGCGACTGATAATCAGGATGAATGGAAAGTTGATACAGTGTTCCCACTCCGACGTTAATTGTATAGTCCACACCGCCTGTACCGCCCGGCATATCCTCAACATCAATGGCGAGATAATCAACCTCACCTCTAGATGCCCGCTCGATCGCTTCAGTAACGTACTTGAGATGAGTAGGCGATCCAGACCATGAAATAGATGGAAGATCATCCATAGATAGATTACGAGCAATGAAGACCATTTTCACATGAAGTTTTCTTAAGTAAGTTCAAATCTTATGATTATTAGTAATATTTCAGTAAGATCAAACAAGTTTGTAAAAAATCTAAAATATTATTTATTGGCAAATATTCACTACAAGATATCATGAAAATTATACCGGTCCATTAAATCGATATTAGTAGTATTCATTTTCCCATTTGAAATCTAAAATGGAACATAACATAGTCACATCAGGATGACAGGCGAGTACTCAGAACTGCTTTTATTGATAGAAAAAAATGAAGAAGTTCATTTATACCAATCTCAGAGTGTAACATGCCACGTTTCATTTGAAGTTGGAGATTTATATCAGTATATCGTTTCAAAACCTACTCGAGCGTGAGCACGGAGCAAATGAATGTTCTTATCTGAAATATTCGTAATGAGGGGTTGGTAGCAATCAGCGTACATCTCACGATGCTTATGTAACATTCGATCAAAGATCTTTTGTCCTCGAAAGTCATGGGCAATACATACTTGACTCATTATGTAATAAGTATAGCTTCGAAGAGTTTTGCCTTTGTATTCCAATATATTGATTAAGAAAACAAGTTCAGGATGTGGATGTGGGTGAATGACAGAAGTACCAACCTCCCCCACACCCACACCCTCAAGATCCGATTCAGTCAGCGAGCATATTTCGAACGATTCCAGTGATCATTGTTTTCTTTCAAAATAGTTCACAGAGCAGAAAAGTAATGACACACTTTGTCTTTCTTCTCTGTCAACATATAGAAAAATGAAATTTATTGACTTTTAAGCCTCTTTTTAATCGAACCACAACGTTGTTTCTCTCGGAAGTCTGTTCCTGAAGCCTTTTTTCTATGTTACTACTCAATCATAATTTTCTGGTTACATTCTAATTAAGGTCCTTCCCCTCCTCAAAGATCGATCTCAAACCAGGAACGTTTGAATGGCATGAAATTTTCAGGATATGTTGTTCCTGGTGTTGGAAGGCTATAGTAAAACTTTCAGTCCTGCATCATGATGTTTGACGAAGATATTGGCCAAACAAGAGTCAAAAAATCGGTAATTTCGTCTCCAAAAGTTCTCTGTGTTCTTCAGTCTATACATTTCATATATCTTTTTTGTTTGAAAGAGCATGTCAGAATGTAGTGCCTATGAGGGCCCTGTTTTTTTAAACTCTTACTTTTTAACGGAAAAAAAGGGATGGAAATTTCAATGACTCAAAAACACTCTCCAAAAATGACGCTCTAATTATATAAAGAATTCTATATATAATAAAAGCAAAGCTTAATGAAAAAACAACTTGCTCTCATACGCACTGCAGTTTTACACGTTCTTTCAAACAAAAGAAAACTATTGGCTACAATAAAGCTCCTTCGAGAATTCTTGGAGATACGATCGAGAACCTATAAAACGAAAAAAATCGAAAAAGATTTTCGGTTTTTTTTCAAAAACAGCTTGTTTTTCGAATAGAGAATGATGAAAATCTTCAAAAATTTTTGGAAAAAAAGAGGTGCAAAGTAAAAATTTTTGTCGTTTATGAGAGATCAGATAACGGGCTATCTTTTCCAGTATTTTTCTTAATTTCGGTGATTTTGACGAAAAGTGACTTTTTTGAGGGAGACCTTAAGTTGGCGCTGTTTGATTTTGATTGTTCAGCTTTAATGATACATTTTGATTCATTATCGTCGCTTTTGATTCACGAATAAACTTCTTTCGATTAGAACTATTTTGTTTAAAATCAATTAACAAAAATTAAAGTCAAATGAAATCTATCTTTAAAGTATTAAGATCAGACATTTATTGGATCTTACAAGTAACCATTTTAATTGTTTTTAGGTAGAAAATAAAAACGAGTTTTTCTCTGTTTTCTTACATGAAAAATGGCTTTTGGCAAAAAAATGAAGTTATGGCTGAACGGCTAATTTTGAGGTGTGATACATATCTTAATTCATCGGTACGTTTGTATATGATCTCTGAGACAAAATACATCTCATTTTTTTTCTTCATTTTCTTCAAGGACCTGTAGCTGGATGAGGGAGCTGCAGATTCAGGTTTTTCAGAACCGTGACCAGAGATTTTTCACTAATATTTTGTACCTTTTATGTACATGAACGTGTGAAAGATCAAGCATTTAGCTATTTCTTTATTACTCTCTGAAAAAAGTCAACATATTATTATCTCTTATTGTTCACTTTATCACCATTCGATGCTAAAGAATTAAAATTCTTAGTATATTTGGAAAGGAGATTAGGTTAACAGAAAACCGAATTAAAGAGTTAATTGTTGAGTAAATTTTGTCATTGAAAATCCTAACACTAAAAGTAGCACCAAAATCTCTAACTATATGAAATAGTTGTAGTTGTATGTATGCAAACGACATTATTAGTTTGGATGTGAGTGTAGATCAAGAGGAAATCGGCAGTTTCGCAAGATTCTGAATTCTCGAGAATACACTAAGAATCTTTGTTTTGAGAATATGGCGGAATTCCATGGGAATCTCTGGAATCCAATTGAAATTTCGTGAACCGTCAAAATATAGAATCCGCCGATTCTCATTGATCATAGCAGAAAAATGGGAAGCAGATCTTCTGTCTTGAGAGAACGTTTTCATATGGATTCATATAGAAATGCGCTGAATGAGTCTTTACATTCACGAATGCCTGTTTCCAACATGTATATTGCGATACTAGACAGTAAAATTAACAGATGTATTGGTACCAATCATCATAGTTTGTTCACATTGAATACTGAGGCATCCGTGATTGATAAGCCGATATTAATGAAATTATTTCAAATGAAAAGTTATGCTATAGCTGTCGCATAAGCTTTGGTCATGATGTGTATTCTTTCTGATGTGTCATCATCAAACCAATTAAAATATTTGAAAAAAGTTTTGGGTTGTTTTAAACGGTGTGTTCGAATGTTTTAATTTCGTTGAATTCAAAACTTGTTGATTGGTCGTTTGTTGGATGAGTCAATCTATCTTATTTGAATACTACCAACGCAATGACAAAACGTTTTATTCATATGCAATTAAATAACAATAAGGTAAAGTGATGTGCGAATGGAGTGTAGCGAGGACAAAAAAAATACGCCGAGATATGTTTCAGTTAGACTGATACTGATAAATAACAAATTACAGAAGAACCGAGTGAGTCTTCGTTCCTTGAATATTTGCTTTTGTTTTGACTAGTCAAGCTAGTTGATGATGTCATAGTTATAGACTATTTCCTTATTATGGACACAATAGCGAAACGTCAAAGTACAAGAAAAAAAAAGAAAGTTCAAATCTAACCCTTCGTTGAATATTATCGATGCACACACACAGAGAACTATGGCAACGATCGACTACTTGATAGAGCAGAAAAAAAATAAGAAACATTGTCGATTTTCTTTATCATCGTTCATGTAGGCAAGCGCAGTTGTCGGTGAATGACATACATAACTATTTTCTCATTAAGACCCGTTTGCTCGATAAAGAAAGGAGAAAGAAAAAGAACGCATTTTTTTCAGTGACTTTACTACTTGTTATGCATTTAATTATGATTGTTAATAGAGACTGTATGCAATTCACACCGTATGATGAAATCAGATTTTTCCTTTTAGTTTTAGTCTGTCGCCGGAATCTGTTGTGAACTTCTCTTGCAAAACGTTTCTATCATCATGTCTTGTACC